CTTGCAGACATGCTTCCCAGGCAGTGTACACCTGCAGACTGAGACAAAACAACTCTTCCTCCCGTAAGCGGCTTGGTCAGAGAAAGCAGAAAACTAATCCACGTATTATAAGACTTCCATGCTAGATTGAGTGAATACTCTGTTCTGGAAATATTGTTTCCACTGTCTATGCATCACTCCATCTATGGGATCTCCTGGCTTGTGTTCTGGACCTGCCACTTCACCACTTTTAAGCAGTGTAATCAGCGGTACGTGGGATTCAGCTCAAACATCTCACAAAAGCTGATTATTAAATAGTCAAGAAAGTGTATGAGCTAGTTTTCCATGGCTGACAGCCTGAAATCAGACACGGAAGGAATATTTAAACTATATTATCAGCAAAATCAAAGAATTGGGCCTCCCCTGATGGCCCTGGGACTTCTGAGAGCCAGCACTCTCGCTCAACTGCCTTTGCTGCTTTTCTACCTTGACTTGATCTCTAAATGCAACTGCTTGCTTGACCTCATCGTTGATCTTACAAACTCATCATGTGCCAAAGTTGAACTCGACTGCTCTTCCTCCCCAAGTAAACAGCTGCTCAGAATGCCAAGTCAGAGAAGTTATGTATCAGCAAAAAAAATATCAAAACCCCAGTTCTTTAACTCTTCGAAGTGAAACATTTTTCTCTCTTCCAGCATGCTTATCTGTCGCATGGAAATCATAACATCATTTAGTGTTGGCAAGCCTTTAGCACGGTTCCAAGAACACAGCAGTTCTCAGTATTTAGCATCCATCATTTTTTATAGAGAAGAAAATCTTAGAAGAGTAAAAATGAAAGAAAAGCCTGTGTTTTTAGCATTCTGAGAAAATAAATCAATATTTAATAAAATATCATGGAAAATTAATTAGATATTATACCACAAAATAAAATGATGTAAATTTAGTGAGAAGTTTTCTTGATTAATGATTGCTATGGGAAGGCCCAACTCACTGTGGGTGGTGCCACCCCTGTGCAGGTGTTCGGCAGGGGCAATCTTCTTCAGGTAACTAATATTCAACTATTTGATAAGTAACATCCATACAGAAAAGTTTCAAAATTCAGAAGAATGTATATTTGGACCATTTTGAATTAAGAGAACAGCTAATAGTATGCTAATGAAAGCACAGTCCGGAGGGAACTCGCAGACCTATACAATTTCTTTTCAAGGTATTTTATAGACTTAAAAATCTAAGTCCTTTTAGGGCTTGATTGCTAGTAAATTCTGGAGATGTGTGTAGCTTAGTGCTAGCTAAATTACTAGTTTAAGGAAATATCCACACAGGCAATGCATATAAAATAATTAAGATTTCTAAAATGTGCAGGCTGGAAATCACAAGAAACTCGATGTTCTATTGTGTGATAAAAGACCCTGAGAAACACCCTAAGGAGGACAGCATTTATGTGGCTGACACTTCCAGGTCACAGTCCATCAAAGGCTGGAGATGGAGCTCAGCTTTCAAGCACTTGCCAAGAACACATGAAGCCCTGGGTTCAGCTGCCTGTTCTGAAAAAAAGGCTTGTAAAGCTAATGCTGGAAGACATTTCCTAAGAAACGATCAGTTACTTCGGATGGAATATTTAAACGTAAAATTCAAGAAATGATAGTACACTTGGCTCTTCGAGAGGAATTGCGTATGATCTGAAAGTAAATGTATTAACCTGTATTAAATTTGACACACACTCGTCTTACACTTAAAGGAGGATGTTCGCTCAATAAATTTGAAACACTACAAAATCTGACATGTTCAATAATCCTCAAACAAAATACTTGGGAATATTTGTAGTTCACATTTTATCATGATAATATGACTTGGGATGGGCTATAGCTACAAATAAATATCCCAGTGCGTTTAGCATGCCTACATTTTGATTGTTGTCTGCCATATGAAGTCAGATAAAAAATCTTCAGCATTACAGCACTATGTCATAACTCAAAAAGATGCATATTTTATAGTGTTTGGGGTTTCACAATTTGCTTTAGAATAGCATAACCAATATGACATAAGAAGACCATCCAAGACAAAATTTGCTAAGTGGGCTGGGTTTTGTCAGCTTGACACAAGCTTACACATATCTGGAAAGAAGGAATCTCAATAAGGAAATGTCTCCATCACACTGGCCTGCAGGCAAGTCTAAGACGTTTTCTTGATTACTGATTGCAATGGGAGAGCCCAGCTCACCGCGCGTGAGGTCCTTATAAAGGAAAGAGGGGTGAGTGAGCAAGCCAGGAACAGCAGTTCTTTGTAGCTTTGCTTCACCTCCTGCCTCCAGGTTCCTACATTGAGTTTCTGCCCTGATTTCCCTTCATAATAGACAGTGAACTCTAAGATTAAATAAATCCTTTTTCTCCAAGTTACATGTGGTCAAGGTGTTCATCACAGCACTAGAAAGCAAACCAAGATACTTGCTAAGCTAAATACTGACTTTTGAAAAACCTAAATTAAACAATATCCAAAGACAGCTTTAACTGAACTGAAACAAAACACAAATACTAAGAAAAGCTCCATTATTCAATGATGTATGTATGAGTGTGGTATATGTTACGTTTGTAGTGTATGTTACATGTGTGTGTGTGGTGTATGTTACGTGTGTGTGTCTGTATGTGTGGCATGTGTTACGTGTGTGTGTGTGTGTGTGTGTTATTAGAAACTGAACTCAGGGCCTCACACATACTGAGCAAGTGCTAACTTGCTGTTCCTCCTACTCACAAAGGTGTTTCTGAAGCTTCAAATCTGTATACCAGTGAATTACAACTAATCCTCATAGTGTCAGCTTCTTCAAGACCCAAAAAATGATGTCAAGATGAACTTAAAACAAACCATAGGATCATAACACTCTTCACAAGACAGCTATCCATTAAGTGTTAGGAAGACTATTCTGAAAAGCGTTTTAGATGCCCCTAAGAAAAATGTTCAATATTTCCTATTATCTGCAAATATCTAATTTAAAATGTAAGATTTCTGAAAGAATTCCGAGTAATATATTCCAGGCATTAATTCCAACTAAAAGGAAACAATGAAGCTATAAAATACCTGAAAACCAGTTCAGTCAATTGTCTCAAATGTTCTTTCCTATACACCCCAGGTCACTTAAGAATATTGTCACTTAACAAGAAAGAAAATTAACAAGAGAAAGATTAATAGAACAGTATGTTAAGAAAAAAATACATTTGATGGCCACTGCAAATCAAGCTCTCCCATCAATCTTGCTGTCTTCACTGTATCCATCATAACTTCTGTCTACAAATGTATTCATTTATTGTGCATCTGTTTACACTGAAGTGTGGAATAATGGATCTCTTCTGTATGGTGTCAGCATCATTAGAGTGTAGGACAGAAAGCTGCAGTTGATGGACTCAGTGTCTGCTCAGCCAATATTAACAATAAGGACACAGTAAATCAGCAATACTTTCTCATCAGCTTGATTAAAGCATTGCCCAACCTATTCAAAACAACAAGTCGGCCTTATTTTAGCAATAAAGCTTTCAAATAAAGGACTAAACATTATTACAGATTATAAATATGCCTGCAAACATACTGTCATTTATGAGACAAAACAAAGGAGCTTAGAAATACTTATTAAAGAGGATTTAATCGTTACTTAGTGAATATTATTATTTACTTAATATAAACTTTAAAATGAGCAAAAAATAAGAGGACTTAGCAGAAGAAATCTTAATATGATAATCAGATATGATCTAGCATACTTATAAACTACAATAATATTTCATTTCCATATGCCAAATCACAGATGAGTTATATATTCAATTAAACAAAAAGAAACAGAAAACCAAACTCATAATTTAGGAGTCACCATAAGATGCGAATACAGGAGTCAGGGATAAGAGGCATCAAGAGAGGTCCTAGTGAGTACTGAAAGGACACTAAGAAGTCAGTCAGGACAAATGTGAAGATGCAGCGGAGAGTCATTCCTCTGCTGACTATGTAGAAGCAAAACCACGTCATGTTGCCTAAGATTTGTCCTCACACAATGTGAAGGCTGCTTGCAGAAGTTGACAGCAGCCCCAGGAATAAGGAGCAAGAAAAAAAACACATCAGTCCTCCACCTACAAAGAACGATGTTACAGCTCACAGCAAGCAAGCCTGTAAGAGAAGCTTGACACTGGGTTACCTCACAACTCCACACCCCCAAAACCTTAGCTACAGACTCTGTAGTCTTTGTTACACAGCAATGGAAAACTAAGTTATCAGTCTTTCATGAGCAAACACTGCTCTCTTCTCTCCTCTGTTACCCTTACAAATTTTCTATGTCAAACAGGGACTGTTCAAACACTACAGTATGTTTTCTATAAAATATATATAATCTAAAAAATATATATGTATAAAATATAAAATCTAGTGATAAACCCTGGTTTTCATAAAATACACTTACTTAAATTTTATATTAAAAGCACTTTGCTTTTAAATTTATTTGGCAGAATTAACAAACCTGAAAGAAAAGTTGATTTTAATCTTTTTAAAATAATATTTGAAAACATTTAGCATATCCTATACTTGTAAATATACAGGTAATATAAACATAGCCAATATACTTACTTCTTCTTCCAGTATTTATAGTACTCATTACAGTACACCATGTGAAGAAATATTACAGAAAGCACACTCTCAGGAACACTCTCATAAAATACGTACACATGGAGAGAAAAGAAACAGTCCACTGCACAATGATGCAGGTGACACAAGCTGTGCTGCAGCGAGTTCCCACCACCACCACCTGTTTACACACCTGGCTCTGGTCTCTTAGGGCTGTGGGTGCAGCGGTTTGCTGGTATTCCTCAATACACAGTTAGGAGCAAAGAAAAACTGGTGTTTTTTTCGTATTGGAACAACTAAAACTTTCTGTGTTTTTGTGAAACAAAATTTGCTATAAAAATTCTAAACAACCATTCAGAACAACGACAAATGAGATAAGTCTTTTAAAGAAATTGATATATTTTAAAATCTATTTTAAATTAGCCTACCTTCCACATTCAAAGTTCCCATTTTAGATTCCAAGAAATCAAATAATGTGCTTGGTGCTGACGGCCTTGCGTTTCCTAGGTCCTCTTCATCTTCAGATCGTGAACGACCCCTGCCTTTCCCTCTACCTTAAGGTTTAAAAGCACATACATACATGTATAATGTGTGAAAAGCAAAAGGAGAAACCACACTAAACAGAACCATCAATCTAGTAAATACAATTGTATATGCATTTCTTCTTATAGTCTTTAGTGAATTCTATTTCTTGTCCAGCAAAAATGCTTTAAATAAAGCTATTAAGAGGCACCTTTAATCTTTAAGATGATCTGTCCAAATGAACATGGGTCTCAGATTTGAAATAAATATGTGTCATTTTAATTTAAAAAGAGTTTAACTTAAAATGAATTTTCTTTCTACAAAAAAAGTAATGTTGAGTTACTCAAGCTTACCGTAATTATAGCGGTGCATAACAAAGCTTTGTAAACACTACTCGATCTTAAAGGTATCTCACAAATTCACATAATATTTAGAATACCACTGTATTAATTGCATATGTATGGTAATTTATTCATATGCATATGGCTATTTCCCAATCTGTTACTCAAATGATACCACTTTAAGATGTGACAATTAAAGAGTGAAACCAAGTAAAAGATTCTGTTTGTTGATTTGGGGAGTTCACAGACTGGTAAGTTTTTATAAAAATGGCACAGCTCTAGAAATAACTCCTAGAAGAAGGTAGTATACATCACAGTCTCTCTTGTCACAACTCTGCTATTAGACACAGTTTATACAGAGATAAGACACTCAGGGGAAGCAGCCCCCAACTACGTCTATGGCTCCCAGCTTCATGCTCCTAAGAACCACACTGTTACCTAGCATTACAGCCCTCACCGCATAAACCTCAGCCTTCGCCCATCACTTATCTGCTGGCACATGAACTGTACCTCTAGGAGGTGGACCCACAACGGGTTTCTGTTTATTGCTGTTTAGGAGTACATTCAATGCTGCTTCTAAGTTGTTGGCATTATCCATAAGTGCTTGCCTCGACGCTTCCTTACTGAAGCCCATTTCTGTAATGTGCTTCAGAGCTTTCTCATCTACCTGCAGAGAATGAAGAAAAAGCTACAGTAGAAACTGTACACAAAGTCAGATATCCATTTTAATTACAGTATGTCTTTTAACTCAAAATTTTGTTCACAGCTGTTGGAACCTGGTCAAAGAAGGATGCATGGTGAGCAATGTCTTGGGACCTGTGAGAGCCTCCAGGGAAAAAGCAGAGGGTCTTTTACATCAGATGCATTTTGTGATTTTGGGCCTCCTGGGTTAAACATTTACCTTCAATTCATAAGACATGTTTATTCTTGTTGAATGTCAGAACATAGCTATAGAATCAAATCATGTGCAAGGATATGCTGACTGCTGTCCCAAATCAAGATATGGCCTTCTCCCATGCTTTTGTGCTTTCCCAGATAATCTGTAATACAGGAGAGGCAAATGTGTTTACATTGGTCTTTCCTGAGAATGCTCTGGGAAAGGGCTACTTGGCCAATATTTAGTATGTCCTTACTGGCACTTATTTATGTTTTTTTTTTTTTTTTCTGATCATGTTTTTCTGAACTAAGAAGCTTTCTTGGATCATTGCTTTCTTTGTTACATTCGTGTATAAAAGTACACTGAAAGTGAACCAAAATCATCTACAGCATTACACTGTGATCCACTCCATTCTTTCAGGTCCTTAGATCCCAGGTCCAGCAGAGAATGTCTACACAGGTCAGCAAAAGTCAACAATAGCTAGGAAAAAACTGCCACAGTCAAACAATATTCCAACTTGCTGTTCTACACTAATAGTCAAGGAAGAATCTGTACTATAATGAAGTTCCATTGAAAATCAAAAAAGAAATTACAAAAAATAAATAAAAAGTTTATGCTATATTAGAATAAGTTCTTAGGGAAATAAAATGGTAATCAAAAATGACCTCATTAATTTTCATGATAAAAAAATGGGAAAATTATATACTTCCCATCTACTATAAGAAACATAATTTACATAGCACCTCAACAAAAATGCAAAGAAAATAACATCTGATGAAAGACTGAGGACATTCAAAGCACAGTATATTTGCCTGTGGCTGATGCCATGCTTACCAGCTCTCTATAGACACCTTCATGCTTGCTCTCTGATTTGGAAGGCCTTTCCTTCGGTAAAACTTCCCTATTTCGGTGACTGACAGCACCCATATTGAGATTACTTCTGGCACCACCTCCACCTCCTCCAAATGTCTTGGTCTTTAGATAAAAGAAAAATAAAACAGAAAAAAACTTAATTATTTTTCACAAGTAAAAATAAAATAATAAATACCTAAAAATAGCATAGAGCATAAACATCTATAAGCCATAATATTTTCTTTCTACAAGTCCAGGCAGGACATTAAAAAAAAAATACAAGATTTTACTTAAGTCATCAAAACAAACTATCTGTTCATCAATACAGACTGAAATAAGATGATATAAACATCATAAAAATTAGTTGCCCAAATTACTCTAGCAAAATATTTGAGTATGTCTTGGATTCAGGCCCTAGAACCATATACAAGACAAGGTTATTCTGAACAAACTACTAAACTGACCAGTAATCAATTAAAATAAGTCACAGTCTGATGGTATCATTATATAAACTTAGAAGGAATGCCATGAATGCAAGAGCAAAATCTGTTTATTAATTCATTAACTACATTCATTGTATATGTATTTCCTTCAAACAACATATAAAGTCTGAGTCTACATATTTGGTCTCGAAAAAACAAAAAAAGTATATAAATTTGAAACTTGTTTTAATCTTAATTTTTGTCTTTTCAAAATAATTATGGAAAAAAACAGACCATAAACATGACTGACTGTAAAGATAGAGTATCATGGCTGAAAAATATCCACGGCTGATTACTAACATCATTGAAAGAAAAATCTTAACTATATAATATTTTTCTGAGTGCTATATTTCATAAAACATTAAAATCTTTATAGTCATTCTTTACATCTCCTCTGATATAATGTCCTTTATCTCTCAGAAGTTCTCCCTAACTTCAAATTTTCTGAAACAAGCAATTTTGTTCCACCTATGGAGCTGCTATCTGTACCACTTCTTCTGAATCAATTCAGCAATCTCCCATTCTGTCTACAACTGCAATCTTCCTTCTCTATGGCCAGTCTCAATGAAGCAACCAGAAGAAACCCTTTCAGATACCCGTTGGCTGACATTATTGCTGTGAGCAAGACGTGCAAAAGCTTGTAATTTCTAAGAAGTACATCAGTTTGTCTTTCAACAGTTTGAAACTGCAGTTTGAATTGCAATTGACCTTGGTTATCTCTCCTTTTCCACTACCTCAGCTTCTGCTTCATCCAAGAACCACCTTGCTGTTTTCTATTTCTGCTCTTTTCTGTAGCATTCGTTTTTCCATGGCTCATTCCCCTTAATTTAACACATAGCTGACCTTCTTCAAACCATCAATCAAATTCCATTATCATTACCTAATTAGGCCGATATATGAAACTGCTGTGTGAAACTTATTTATTATATGCATTGTTATTTACAATCTAGATCATCCATATGCTACATATCGATTTACTCTATAAATTGCTTTTGAGTAATACTGGACAAAGCCCGAGTTAACTAACTTCAACAATCTCATAAACAAATTGGATTTTGAAATGTTTCAGTCCTTAAAAGCTGTGAAGAAAACATATGATCCATTATAATATAAAATCTGAAGTACATTATAATGCTAACTATATAGTCCAATATATAGGCATTTGTAACTTCAAATAAAACCTTAGGAAGAAAGCTTGGAACCAATGGAAAAGGTTCCAAGCATCTTCTAAATTTTAAAATTTATAGCATCATTTAATATTTTGGGGAAAAATTAAAATATTTCATATGAAATACATTTAATGCATGTAAGTGCCTTCGACTGAAGAGCACACTTAAGAATTCCAACACTAGTGATTACTGTCACAAAGGAGTGTCATAATTTGTGCAGTGTGAAGGGGCAGTTGTAGATGTTTTGAGTTGACCAGTTATAAACCCTACAGCATCCATGACAGTTCACGGCTCCTAAATTTCACAGATGAAGCAAATTGGGCACAAAAGTTCATCATTCAATTCAGGACCATCAGCAGGACATGCTCTGGCCTGCCCAATTTCAGAGGCTTTGTGTTCAGCCCTACTCTAAACAGGAGACAGAAAGAAAGAGGAAGGACAATTGAATATCAATAAGCTTTCTGGTGGAAGCATTGAAATTAAATAGAAAAGTGATTATTCATAAACCTTTATTGCATTCTGAATGCAGGAAATTTCAATTTTAGTGAATAAAAAAATTTAACCAACAAACACAAAAGTTCATAACAAAATCTGAAAAAAATCAATCAGAGAAAAAAAGCTAGTCCAAGTAAGCAAGAAATTCAAAACAAACTATTTAGCTAACCATAGTGTAAGAGAAAGGGTGGGTATATGCATGTAAATGAGTTCATTATAAAAACATATATAGTCCTATGATTAACATTTGCTATAACTAATTAACATAAAAATAAGCTAACAAGACATATTTCTAATACATTAAATGATCATAATTCAGTCCTCAGAAGCTTTAATTTTTAGAAGCAGGTATTATAGAGGTAGAATATTTTTATATTAAATGATAACTAGCTCAACTAAAAACAAGAAATCCTCTACTAGGATGTAAAAGAAAAGTGTGTTATTTCATTAAGAAAGAAAAGGAGGCACAAGGATGGATGACTTGCTAATAGGAATATTTACCAGAAATTCCAAGATGACTTGGAAAAAAAAACATACAAATCCAACAGGCAGGCTTAAATCCCCAGGGAAAGATGGCATTCTTCCTCTTCTACAATACGTAACGAGAGCAAAGTAAGGATTCTTGGGGACTAGTTATGTGAAAAGAAGTAATGGCCATGAATAATTAAAGAGAATGCAATGAGAGAAATTTGGGGAAGTTATCTTACTTCTTTGCTCTTTGCGACCTCTGCAATTGCAGCCGTTCTTTGCTTTTCAAATTCATCATTATCATTTGTGGGCTTGACGGGCATTGAAACTTGCAACGTCTTTCTTCGATCAAGTTCTCTGCTATCCACCTGGACATTAGATGTACACTTCTGGGAAAATAAATTCATATGATTCAGGATTTCCAAAAGAAATTATAGTTCTTTATAGAATGAACTAGTTCTTCAAAAGAAAGGTTTATATTTCTTATCATTGGTAAAAGCAAAATACCACTCCATCCAACAGATTAAAAAAACAATGGGAAAATGATTACAACATAACTTTTAGATAAATATGAGCTAGATTTTTTTTTCTCTACGTATGTGTGCACACGCACATGCATTTATACATGTTTGTGTGTCTTTGTGTATGTGTGTGTACACATATATTACTGGAATGAGGCCACATACTTACAAAACATACTGGAATGCAAGACCCAAGTTTCATTTTAAGGTAATAACTTTAAAACAGCTGTAGATTTCAAGGTCTCTACATGAACTAAAACCATGTACATTTGATTTTGTAACTAAGAGTTCAATTTCCACATCACACTAAAATACCCATAAATCAGACACTTGCTAACATGTTAACAAAATGCATCTGACCTCGTAGCAAAGACTAAAAGTATGCTCTCTGTGCCAATTAAGATAATGTGCTTTTTTAAGTTTTGATTTTTAATCTCATAATTTAATAATGGCATGTGTCTCTGTCTGGAAACAGCCCCTGAACTCTCATCCACACCTCTACAGGTCCTCTACAGTGACTGGGTTTTTGCAGCTCATTAACAAGAAGGAAGGGGAGAAGAGGAAATTCCCTCAAGTGTGATACACAAATACAGTGTGCTTCCTCCACAGTAAACAGCTATTTATATATCACCACACAGCCAGCATCACCATCTTAACCCACCTACCATGCTGGAGGATGCTGCATAAGACCTATTCAGAATGGAGAAAAATTAAAACACTACCATTGAAACTAAACCCTTTCCTATACTTCCTACCATATAAAACTGTAATTCACATTTCAAATTATGGACAAAAATTAAACCAGTAAGTATCTCTAGGGGGGGAGTCATTTTTTTATATCATAAGTAATTTAAGAAAGAAATTCTATAAATGTTTCAGAAAAAAGTAAATTTTTACAGAGATGTCAATTATTACCTTCAAGTGTAAGTTACTATAATAATTTCACTGTCTCTTTAATTGTAGGCAGAACGTTATTAACTTTTTTATCTTTAAAAAAAAGCACGGGATCATGCTTTTTATATACTTAAAAAATGCATGTGAAGCAGGAATTACTCTAATTTAAATCTGAGTATAGCTCATAAAAATTATTTTGGGCTTTGTTTGAAATTTTGGTATTAAAAAGATATTTAGTTGGTATGAAGATATGAAATAAATCAATTAATTGGCATCTTCATACCAATTAAGATATCTTTTTAATACCAAAATTCAAACAAAATCCAAATAAAACAAAATACAAAATAAAATGTTGGTGTCAACTGCCTACTTTTGTGTCCCCAATTCACCTTCACTTTAGCCAGCATTCTCTAAGAAAAGTACAAGGTAAATACAGTTCAAAACTTTGGTGGTGGCAAAAAAGGCAAGGTCAAAGAGACACAGGGATTCCTGTCGGCCTCCTCATGTGGAGGAGTCTGCTGGAACACAGCTAATGGCTGTGTACAGGAAGGAAGACACAAGACCCAGGCCAACTCAAGACCACCCTCCAAGTTCCTCTGCAGTTTGAAAGGTCAGGCAGTTTAATAAGAATGCCCCCATGGGCTCATATGCCTTAATGCTCAGTACCCAGTTGGTGGAGCTGCTGGGGAAGGATTAGGAGACCTGGCCTTGTTGGAGGAAGTGTGTCACTGGGGGTGGGCTTTGAGGTCTCTAAAGTCCAGGCCATTCCCAGCTAGTGTTCTCTGCCTCATGCTAATAGATCAAAATGGAAGCCTGTGACACCATGCTAATCCGCTTGCTACTGTGCTTCCTTCCCTCCATGAGAGCCATGGACTCACCCTCTCAAACTGTAAGCCCCAATTAAATTTTTCTTCTAAAAGTTGCCTTGGTCACAGTGTTTGTGTTATAGCAATAGAAAACTGAGAAATGGTTAAAAATTAAGGACTAAACATTGGATTATTTAGGTTCTATAGAAGAAGAATCTGGCTGCTGTAGTTGAAAACATCAGCTAGAAGTAAAATTAAGTTTCCAACTGACATGAAGAATTGGATGGAGGCTGAAGAAAAGAATGTAGAGGAAATTTTTGGCATATTTTTTATCTCTTTACTTTTAAAATTCTCATTTTTAAAAACTTGTTTTCCATTAACCTATTATAGTTAGCTATAATTTGTTCTTCGTACATAATTCTTAATTGCTTCTATCTTTGGGGTAGCAAAATTATTAAATTCCTTGTCCTTCATATTTCCATGTAACTCCACAGCATCTGAGTAAATAGCACAAAATAGCACACAGCTTGAGCACAACGAAGAACATTCTTTCCTAACTGAGTAAACGACCAGAATAAAGTCCTTACCTGTCCAAAAGGCAGAAAAGGAGGTGGACCACCTTCAGTTCCAATATTGCTTCTATTATGTTTTGATAAGCTCTGTTTAAAAACATAAGCAGTCATAAAGCATAAATCACACACATAAGCACACCAGGAACATGCAAATACACCGGGGATGCACTGCTTAATATAGAATCTTAGGACACAACAGCCTTCTTTATGGTATTTCAAACTACAAAACATGCAATTCTGTATTCTTTACTTCAGTAACCTGGCAAAGGTCATTCCTCAACTCTCCTGACCAAAATACATTCAAGTTTAATTTTCAGAAATATTTTTCAAGCTGTTGTCCTTTGGAGAAAAGAGACCTCCTCAAAATATAGTCAATTCACAAAAATAAACTCTGGCAAGAACAATTTTACTTTGAAGCACATAACCTATAGACTAATAATGCCTTGAATGGTTCTATAAGAATGAAATTTTTAGAGATAATATTTACTAAATAAAAATCATTATTGGTAAAGGTAATTTCTAGTACTTCAAACATCATACTAATATAGTTCATAATATGGAAAGTTGCTCAGTAAAAATTTGTCAAACTCTCTTATATCAATTCAGATGTTGAAGAGATAATCAACCAACTGGGTTCTTTAAAAGTTTTGTTATATTATGTGTGCATATGTGCAGGCAGATACAAACACACATGCATAAGTATATGAAGTACAGAGGACAACTTGCATGGGTCAATTTTCCCTTTCCTCCCATGTGGATCCTGGGAATTAAACTCAAGTTATGAGGCTTGAAGGCAAACACCTTTACCTGCTGAGCCACTGCATAGCCTCTGACTATCATTTAATAGACACAAGCTTCCGAACTCTTACCAGTTCCAGTTTTATTTTCAAGCTTGCCTAATTAGAATTAGAGAACAATGTATTGTGAAAATGGGCAGAAAACTGTCTTCAGCAAAAGCACTTTCTCATACTGTGAAGGCCTCTACAGGGCCAAGGGAAGTTAAAAAGGATCCCATTCAGCTCTCCTTCCCACTGAAGGTATTAACATGCACCATAAAGCTATTGTTATTAAATATATCTTCTAAACTTTCAACTTGTGCAATTTAAAAAAAATACCATTACAGACGTTGTGATGAAAATACAAAGTAAAAAAGTCTCAAATTATTTTTAAAAATCCATCACATACGTTTTAAACATATTCCAGAGTTCCTGAATTATGTAAATGCTATTACACAGTTCATGTAAATTACAGATTGAGTAATAAGGCTAATGGCAACTATAATATCAGTTTAATGAGAAAAGTATAATAAAAGTGGTACAAGGATGGCATACTCTTCACAATCTACATGTGAGTTGTCAATCTCTCTAATTTAAAAAAAATAAGCATGGCACAAATATAAGACTATCTAGGGGTCCTTTTCTCAGTTTCTATTCAGTTACAAGGAAAGGATTATGTAAACAGTTATAAATCATTTCAATTTCTACTAAAACTTCCTCTAAAGGCTAACATAAATTAACAGCTCTTGTTAGCATGAAAAATCAAAAACAGGTTAGAGGACTTCTATTTCTTGCACTGATGAAGGTACAAGGAGCCAGACCTAATCTCCCTTTACACACAATGAGTACAACTGTACTAAACCCAGCACAACATGTAGTGTAAGACTGCTATTCCTAAGGGAAGAAGTAAGCCATGGCTTCTGCTTGGATGTACAATGTAGAAAGCACAGCATGGAGAGTTCAGTAATCAACAACCTCAGGAGAGGAGACCCAGTGTCACTAAGCCTTGGAGAAATACACACAAAAACCAAGAGGCTCCATTTCACATAGAAGATCTACTATGAGAAACCAGTGGACAAGTCAGAACCTTACTAAAAGAATAAAAGCAAAATTAGCATATAACCCAGCAATCTGACAAGTGTGCATACAAAAGAACTGGGAGGAGCTATTATTTGCATGCTCATATTCACAGTACCATTTTTACAGTGAGCAAAAGATAGGAACATTAATGCCCGCTAACAGATGAATAAACAAAATGTGCTATGAACAATAGAATACTACTGAGCTTATAAAAGAGAGAAATTCTGACACATATTACTCACACAGAATAAGCCAGACACAAAAAAACAAATACTGTAATATTACATGTCTAAGAGAAAGTGAAACAGCCAAGTTCATAGAGAAAGAAAGTGAATCGTGTTTAACATGGGAAAGAATGTGTGAGTGTATGTCTGTGTGTCTATCTATGTGTTAGAAATGAGTAAGTTCTTCGCTAATTTGCTAGTTTTAAGTGAAATGATTATTGCTGGGAAGTTGGAAAATTATATAAGCATTGATCTGACTTTAAAATATCCTTCTCTTATCTGAAAAGTTTCAAACCTGCCAAGATACTGTAAAAAGAACATTTAAAGCAAGAAAAAGAAATATAACAAGTACTGAAAAATTTCACCTGCTTTCGAGGAAGATTGTGGTGAAATCATAGTAGACAGTTGCTCTAAGATCATAGTGTTTTAGCTTCATAATTCTGGCACAAAAGACTAAGGCTACCACTTGTTATGGGACACGTTCCTCGAGAACAGTCAGAAAGCCTGGCGTCCCACCAGTCTGAGCCATTCTTACTGCACACTTACTCTCTGTAACTCCCACTTGTCAATCAGATGTTCCACCTCACCACCAAGAACTGTGGTGTTAGAGTCAGTCAGGAGCAGGAATCCATTCTTTACGTCAACGACGCCCGAAAGCCTCACTTTCGTGCCAGGCGGTGTGTTCAGACTGACGCAGAAGAAAACCAAAAGGAGTTAGGAGTTAAAGCTGCATTGACACTCCTCCACAATATGAAAATGAGTCTTATGACGTAATCAAAATGCACTGACATCTAAACCAGTTTCCAGGGGGAGTAGCTATAAAGTATAAATGAGTCACGTTAATAAAGACCAAGTATAGAACAAAATGAACTTGGTTTGCATAAGTTAAAGCAAATGTGGACGCAAACAATCAAACCACACAAAGCTGCAGTAAGGAAAGGAAGAGCAGTTTTCATTTCCTGTCTAAGATTGATTTTCACTTTATATGTGTGAGTGTTTTGCTTGCATATATAGAGCTAGGGCACTGGGAACTGGAGTTACAGATGGTTGTGAGCCATTGTTGTCAGTGCTGGGAAATGAACCCACAACTGAACTGGAAAAATACCCAGTGCTTTAAACCACTGGGACATCTCTCCAGCCAGGAAAGCACTTCTCTACTCTACCATCTATAAACACTTATCTCCCTCTCTTTGTTCTAACTTTTGCTATACATGGCAAAAATATACCATTATTAAATTAAATTTTAATGTAGAAAAAGATATCTAACCAGCAATAAACATAGAAATTTAACATTTACATGAGTTACCGTAATCTATAAAACCCCTTTTTGTTAGTCATCTAGTTAAAGACATAACATGAGAAATTACTTATGTAAGAACTTAAAAAAATTATACACCAACTAGGAAGTATATAAGTACTAACTGCAATAAGACTTTTCTAAAAAAAAAATGCCAGTGTTAATCATTTGAGTTAGTCAATTGGTGAACATTACACCACAAATTCTTGCACAAAAAACAGAGACAAGATGTTTATCTTCCCACAACTTTGCTGAAGGGAATACAGGATGAAATCCACTTCATCACATTGGTTTGAAAACACAGATATGAACTGCACTCCAGCTCACATAGAGCAAGAGAGAAGCTCTCAAATAGGACTCCTAACACAATCAGCCATGAAACACGGGGTGAATTAGAAAGTTAGCCTGCAATGGTTTCGTTATTCACAGTTGAAGGGCATGCAGATATATGCAACATCAAATCAGTGAGTGTTAATACCACAACCCTTCAAAGGACAGCTACTAAAAATCATTAGCAAAAAAAAAAAGTAAGAATATGTCTATTTCTCAAGCTTCAAAGAACCCTTACAGGGTAAGATAGATTACATACTGTTTCATGTATCAGATATGTCTAATATGTGTATCACTGCATTATTATCAATTCTATCTCAATAAAGCCATTAAAAGTGTTCTGCGGCTCACTAGCTGAAAATTCCTGTCATAATTCAACACCGACAGAACAGCTAAACACAGCCTTGCCTAACCTCACCCGTATGGAGCTCCGTGTCAGAAGTGCAGCCACTGTGAACAATGCCCCATCTTCAAGATCAGCAGTAACTATGAGCAACACAATTACACTAACAAGCTTTTACCAATTCCAGGCAGTCAGCAAATACAGCTTCAATAACTCTGCAGTTCATCATTTCTTCATTTCTGAATGAATCAAAGCAAAAGGCACCACGGACCATAGGTTGATGCCCTTTTATAGCCAAAGAAAGCACTAATTATACTACTGATCTATTTTTTTCTTGAAAAGAAGTTTCAGTTAGTAATTTCTAACAAATCAATAAAACCAGAAGTGAATAAGAATATATCAGCACACAAAATTATGAATATAGGGAACTAAATGCAGAAATCAAACAATAAAAAGGTAAATATCAGATAAATAAATATCAAAGAAAACAGAAAATATAAAAGCAAAAGATTAACTTTGTGTTATTAGATGGCTACATCCTCTTGAAACTTTCCTTAATGTCAAATAATTTGAGAATGGACTTAAATTTTTATAAAAACAACTGATAGAATCCCACTAGATTAAATTACAATTTTATTGCTACAAAATTAAAATTACATTATACTTTTTACTTCATTGACTTCACTATCATAATTAACTCTTATTTAGAGAGTACATTTTGATTTACTAACTACTTCTTTGGCACCCCAATACATCTTTACTCTTTCTTCATTGTAATTATAAACAAAACCAAAAACCATGGAGGACTGTACAGGAGATGGAAGGCTAGAAGTGCCTAGAGAAATACACAGCCCATTGAGGCAGCACAGCCCAGCCCTGCATCTGGTTTATCCTATCTAGAGAGTTAGTTCACCTTCCTCCTAAGGCAACCACTACCCAAACATTAAAACTCTTCTAAATTATCCCCATGAAAGAACAGTTTTTGCATGCTGTCATTTCTGTGATGGCAAAGGAACACAGGCTGCTTCAATAATGAGTGAGTGAGCATGTAAAAAATTTAGCTGTTAAACCACAATAAATCCAACAGAAAAGGACAGCAGATGGCATTGGGCAGAGAAAAGTTACAGAGGAAAAGCAGAAAAATGTGCATTCCTTAGCAAGTCAGCCTTCTGTGTCACCCTGGAGCCCTTGGAAGGGCTGCACCGAATCTGTCAAGGGAGGAAAGACTATTTTCCACAAATAGGAATCCTTCTCTTCAAAAAGAAGGCAATGCAATCACTAGGTAGCTAAGCCACCTCCCCGTTTAGCCCTTGTATAAAACTCAACACTTTTGATAAACATTTATCCATTTATCATCTCAGGAGGGTCCCTCCTTTACCAAAGGCAGAAACAGACTGAAGGAAAGCATGCATCACCCAACCTACTCCAAATCCCTAAGCTCTACCAAACAGACCTGTGCCCTCCCCAAGAGCAGCACAGGCCAGTCAGTCACTGTTGGAGTACAGTCTGTGAATGAGGCAGTGGGAGATTTCTGAGCGCTTTCAAGAAAACTAAGTAAACAAGAGTCTAGTAACCTCTGCTTTGGAGCCCTCCCAGGTGTGGTGATACTGGGTTTATATTCTATTGCCCATCATCTCACTTTTGTTATTTAAAAATGTTGTCAAGCACCAGTTGTCCTTGGGTCTGTAGACAGCCTAAATTCTTACAACCTTGCCTAGGCCTCAGAACAGAGCCATCTGATGCTCTGAATAAAGTTGGCTACCACGTGAGACTTTAGCCTGCTTCATTTTGGGGACCTCCACTCTCCCAGGTTCATGCTGCCGACTAGAGCAGCAATTCACCTCTCTCAAAACCATTCATAATTCAAATCAAACTCCCATCTACCCCAAGCTGCCATATTTCTCTGGGATCCAGGAAAATAATTACATGTCTATATGCCTATATTGTTATTGTATTAGCTACTAGGAAGTAAAATTTAACTTTATCATTGGACTCTCCACAAAAATGGAATGGAATACAGTGTATGGTAAAGACTATAAACTTGCTTAGGAAAAAAAAAAAAAGCTTTAGGAATTTACACTGAGTAAAAAAGCTCAGAGGAACCAAAGTAGCAAACAAGACCATATACAATGACTCAAAAAAAAAAAAAAATAAAAAAGCTTACATATATACAAGAAAAGTTCTTTCTTCAGAAAGCAGTGTTCAAACTGCCTTGATAAATGGTGTGGGAAGTCTTCCTGCTGTCTATGTGTTGCTTTTATTGGTTAATGAATAAAGAAATTGCTTTGGCCTGTAATAGAGTAGAATAGAGCTAGGCAGGAAAACAAAAACTAATGCTGTGAGAAAAAAGGTGGAGTCCTTGAGAAGCCATGTAGCCCCACAGGAGAAAGACACTCGGTAACCTTGCTGGTAAGCCGCATTCATGTGGTGATACACAGATTAAAAGAAGTGGGTTAATTTTAAGATGTAAGAGTTAGTCAATAAGAAGCTAGAGCTAACAGGCCAAGCAGTGATTTAAATAATATAGTTTCTGTGTGTTTATTGCGGGACCAGGCAGGACAGAAACCTCTGCAAACATTGATAGGAACAGGCTCTCATCTTTCTACTCATCTTTCTACATCTTAAGAGTTGTATCTCTAATTATCTGTAATTCCTACTTTCATAGTGTTGTAAAGTGCTATGTAGTACCAGAGGGGAAAAATAATAATTATTAGTCTTAACCTGCTGTGTAGTCAACAATTTACAATAATAACCTGTAATAACGACTAAATTGGCAAAATATGCCCACTGCTCCAAGAGTGGCGTCCATGCCATGGGAGTAACTAACCACTTTATAAATGGATTTAAAGCTCACACCACAAGCTGGAACCCAACCTGATGCTATTATCAGGACCAAAATACCTATAGCTAGACAGTTAATAAACCCTATGGGAAAACCCACTACTATCTTAAAACAACATAGTATTAAATAATCCTATTGACTTAGTGTAATTCTCATCAGAAAAGCTCCTTGCTGATGGCTGCTGCTGAGAGTAGAGTTTCTTTAAGAGTGTGGCCCCTGGTAGATCAACCAAGCTAGTGTGGATGGCTCCAAACCCAATGTATATGAGCAGCAAACACTAGACTCCATGAATATAAAAAGGAAAAGAAAAGTTGAGTGGGTAGGGAGTGGTGGTGGACTTGGGAGGAGTTGAGGGAATGCTTGCATGCATTTTTTGCTGGTTTTTTGTTTGTTTTTGATTTTCAAGACATGGCCTCTCTGTGTAGCTTTGGAGCCCATCCTGGAACAAGCTCTTGTAGATCAGGCTGGCCTCGAACTCACAGAGATCCACCTGCCTCTGCCTCGGGATTAAAGGTGTGTGCCACCACTGTCTGGCTTACTTTCACATCTTACATTTCCTTTATAGATAACACAGAGAAGAGTGACTAACTTTATCCCTAACTGTCTTCTAGGTAGATAAAAGAAACAAAAATTTGAGCCATTTCTTGAGAAAAAGTACAACATTCACTAAAGACTCCATTTCTCCCTATTCAGATTCTTATGATGAAATCAGGATTGTAAAGCACCTTCAACTTTTCTTTAACAAGTTAAATGACTCACCTGATCTTTGAAATATAACTGAACTCTACTGCCGTACAACTGGTATGCCCATCAGTCATCTGCAAACGAAGCATCCTTGGTGCAGCCTGCGACTCCTCATTGTCTTTTGGTGCAGCAACATTGCGGACCTTCTGAATTTGTAATACACATGGACCTTCAAGCTGTCACACACAAAGGAATGAAAGTCACTTCTTAGTCATTGCTACAATATCAATTACACAATTTTCTCTTTTTAATGGTTATTTACTATGACATAAAAATAACTTCAATTAAAGTCAAGACTAAAATTATTCTCTAATTCAGAGGTAAAATTTCAAACAGGAAACTTGCAGAACAACTTTGTGAATCCACCTTAAGATAGTTCCAAGGCATGAAAGCATTAAAGGAACAGTTGATTCCTTTAACAAAAGGTGTGCTAGGCCATGCTCTAGCCAGTTCCTATAAACCTGTTTCCTCCCATCACGTGAACAGGCAGTCAGGAGAGAACACATTGCCATTACTGTAAGGGATACCACCTTAGAGCAGCAGCTCAAAGGAATGCTTCCTGCTCAAACATATCAACTTTACAGCCCTCCCACACCAAACGCACCTTCTAGTTAAAGAATATATACGAATACAGTGCTCCCAGCGCAGGACACAGAAAGTTCAAGGAGTGAGGTACGCTTTTTCTACACTTCCTTTTTGTTTTGTTTTTCTTTTTTTTTTTTTTTTTTTTTTTT